AAACTGCTGGGCAGATTTAACTAAAATTTGGTCTGTAGCATCCTTGTGATAGTCACACTTAAATTTGCTCATGTCATTTCAATTTGCCCCTTTTAGGGTTCAGCAGAGCTAAAAATAGAAAAACCTTTAAACATCTTCTACTACAGAACTAATGGATGGATGATCACCAAACTTTGTCTGTAGCATCCTTAGGTAGTCTTTTATCAAGTTTGCTCATATTAATTTGATTGGCACTAGGGCTAAAAATGGAAAAACCATTAGACAATTCTTCTACAGAACCAATTGATGGATGATCACCAAACTTTGTCTGTAGCATTCTTGGGTAGTCTTTTATCAAGTTTGCTCATATTAATTTGATTGGCCCCTTGTAGGGGCTGCTATAGCTAAAAATAGAAATACCTTTAAACGTCTTCTTCTACAGAACTAATTGATGGATGATCACCAAACTTTGTCTGTAGCATCCTTAGGTAGTCTTTTATCAAGTTTGCTCATATTAATCTGATTGGCCCCTTTTAGGGGTCACTATGGCTTAAAATAGAAAACCTTTAGACATTTTCTTCTACAGAACCAATTGATGGATGATCACCAAACTTTGTCTGTAGCATTCTTGGGTAGTCTTTTATCAAGTTTGCTCATATTAGTTTGATTGGTCCTGTTAAAGCTAAAGCTTAAATTCACTAGCATTTCTTTAAATTAAAGTTTAAAGATATTCTAAGCTCTAATTTTAATATAAAAAAAAATATTGACAATGGATACACAGTCTCCTTATAAATATAAAAAATATACGTGTTTTGACTTCACACAAAGAAGATATGTTATGTTTTAAACTCTTAACACTATTCGTGGTCACAGTATAAATATAATGATAGTGTCATTACAAAAACTTTTTTTTTCTTTTTTTTATAGAAAAGACCATCTTTACATTGCCTCTAATAGCATATGCAGTTTCCTGTACATAGTATATTCATTCTTTTATCCAAATAAGACATTTTCAGCAAGAATTTCATAAATTTCATTGGCTTGGGTCATGACCTTTTTATGATGTGTAAATATATTTCAGCTCTGGAATTCGGACTACTGCATCATTGTAAGGTCAGTTGTAGGTCATTAACCAGGAAAAAAATAGGCCTAAAGAAACATAAAATTTGTTTCTCCTGTACTTTACTATCAAAGATGAGTTTATCTGCTCAATTCTCTTATTGAATTTTGTAAAAAATTGTAATTTTTTCATTTTTTGTTGTTGAATTAACAAGGGACAAGGGGTTTAATTTCTGTTTCTGAATTGAATTTTGATATGAACTGGCTTACTTTTGATATATTTGATATCGCTTTACCTACTTTTTTTGTCTTTTATGTACAGACTTGAAATTTGGACTATGGGTGTAATTTGTGTAATTTTTGATGTTGAATTCAATTTTGATACCAGCTGACTTACTTTAGGTATTACTGACATCATTTGACCTACTGTCTTGTATTTTGACATTCAGATTTTAAATGTTGACCAGGTTTGTAAATTCTGATGTCGAAATGAATTTTGATATCAACTGACCTACTTTTGATATTTTTAATATAATTTGACTTTCATTCTTGTGTTCTTGACATACAGACTTGAAATTTGGACTAGGGGTGTAATTTCTGATGCTGAATTGAATTTTGATATTAACTGGCCTACTTTTCATATTTTTTACAATGTTTGACCTATTGTCTTTTTTTGAGGTACAGTTATGTTACCATACAGAATGTATAAAAAAATTTGTCCCAAACTGTGAACTTCAAACAACTACACCTTACATGTTTTGCATGTGACATTTTGTGTTTTCATTCAAAAAAAGTTTTAAAAAAAATTGTCCTATTAAAATTAATCCTGCTCTAGTGGTCAGTTGTTCTGCATTTATTCTACATAGTCTCATAGGAACACACTTGCAACATACATATTTTAACAAATCCTTTCCAAAATATAAGGGCAAAATATTACAATTTTTATAGTGAATAATGAAATGATGGGTTAGATGAGTCATCTAGGGCCATCTTAGTGGTCCTATTGTTTATCATGAAGAAAAAAAGCTAAAACAATCAGTGTTGTGAAAGTATATTACTAAAGGGGCAAGTTAAAGTTGATCGAGCTGAACTGCCGAAAGAGCTGGACTTGCCTTTCAGCAAGTTCTTTTGAAAATTAATTTCCAACACTGAAAAACAGTTTCTGGTGAGCGACTCAGGGCCATCATGGCCCTCTTGTTTAATAATTTCATTTTTCTTGCGCAATTCTCTAAAATATGACTTGGTTTTTCTATATGCGTTTCACAATTAACATTCACCATACCAGGTTGTAAAATAACTTAATTTGGTCCTTAAATCAGTTTTTACCACAACATCAAACTTCATTCAGAATTCATGTCACGTTATTGTGAGCAAATTCTGAGTTTCCTTTAGATATGAACAAGAAAATGTTTATTACCCTCCGCCGAAAAGACGGATATAAAATTAGTCTCCATCCGTCCGTCTGTCCTTCCGTCCGTCACTCTACATTTTTGTCCGGAGCATATCTCAAAAAGTATCAATTTGAAACTTCATAGGTGGAGGTATCAACTTGAAACTTCATTTGTGGATAAATCATATTTAGGAAAAGTGCAGTGCACAAGAATGATAACTCTACGCTGCATATTTATTTCATTGTTGCCCTTTGTTATTCTTCAAACTCAATTTTTGTCCACAGCAAAAAGCCTTTGAGATATCAACATGAAACTTCATGTGGATAGATCTCACTCAGGAGGTGTGCATTGCAAGAGTGATAACTGTACCATTTCTAAATTTTGAGTTATTGCTCTTTGTTATTTTTCTTACTTAATTTTTCACCCGAGTGGAGCATAAATTAACTAAAAAAAACAAACTTTGAGATGTCAATGTAATCTTCATAGGTAGATAGATCTTTTTGAGGATGAATGTTGTGCGAAAGAATGATAACACTAACCTTTATAATTTTTGAGTTATTGACATTTGTTATTTTCTTACTTTTTGTCCGGAGAATATCTAAAAAAGTGATAGAGGTAACAACTTGAAACTTCATAGGTGGATAGCTCTTTTTGATGAGAAGTGCAGCACACTAGAATGATAACTAACCGTGCATTATTTTTCAGTTATTGCCCTTTGTTATTTTTCATACTTAATTTTGTCCAGGGTATAACTACAAAAGCCTTTGAGATATCTACATGAACCTTCAAAGGTGGACAGATCTCACTCAGGAGATATGAAGTGCAAAAGAGTGATAACTCTACCCTTCATAATTTTTAGTTATTGCCCTTTGTTATTTTTCATACTAATTTTTTCACCTCAGTGGAGCATATCTCTGAAAAAAGTCTTTGAAATGTCAACATGAAACTTCATAGGTGGATAGATCTTTTTGAGGAGGAATGTTGTGCGCAAGAATGATAACTCTATCCTTTATAATGTTTGAGTTATTGCCATTTGTTATTTTTCAAACTTTTTGTCCGGAGCTTATCTAAAAAAAAAATTAGAGGTAACAACTTGAAACTTCATAGGTGGATAGATCTTATTGGGGAGCATTGCAGTACACTAGAATGATAACATACCGTGCATTGTTTTTTCAGTTATTGCACTTTGTTATTTTTCATACTTTATTTTTGTCCAGGGTATAACTACAAAAGCATTTGAGATTTCAACATGAAACTTCATAGGTGGATAGATCTTACTCAGGAGGTATGCAGTGCAAAAGAGTGATAACTCTACCCTTCATAATTTTGAGTTATTGCCCTTTGTTATTTTTCCATACTAAATTTTTCACCTGAGTGGAGCATATCTCTGAAAAAGTATTTGAAATGTCAACATGAAACTTTATAGGTGGATAGATCTTATTGGGGAGGAATGTTGTGCGCAAGAATAATACCCTTTATATTTTGTTAGTTATTGCCATTTGTTATTTTTCATACTTTTTGTCCGGAGCTTATCTCAATTATTATTAATTGAGCCTTGATTTTAAACTAAATGTGTCTGTATTTCTTACCATCCTTTACTGGTTTTAGATTATCATTATTGTTTAATAGGTTTACTTAATTAATGTTGTTCATTATGTCTTATATATATATGGTTATGTTTTATCGGATTTATGTAAAGCACTCTTGAACATTTATTATTTATGAAAAGAGTGCTATAGAAATGTGGTATATAATAATAATAATAATAATAATAATAATAATAATAATAATAATAATAATAACAATAATAATAATAATAATAATAGTAATAATAATAATAATAATCTCAAAAAGGTGTTAGAGGTATCAACTTGGAACTTATTAGGTGGATAGATCTCATTGAGGAGGAGTGCAGCACACAAGACATTTAACATACCGTGCATTATTTTTCAGTTATTGCCCTTTGTTATTTTTCATACTTAATTTTGTCCATAGCATAACTACAAAGGCCTTTGAGATATCAACATGAACCTTCATAGGTGGATAAATCTCACTCGAGAGGTATGCAGTACATAAGAATGATAATTATTCTGCTCTACTACATATAAACATGGCTCTTGTAACAAGTTACATGATTATGATATTTTAAAACCTTCTGAACAAGTTAACATGTCAATTCAAAACAATGCTATTTGGAGATACCTTATCAATATATTTAACTGGTTTTTTTTGTTGTTTTGTGGGGGTTGGTTTATAATGATTTGTTATTTTAATATGTGATATACACAAACAATAGACACATCTGAATTTAGCAAAACCAGTGCATCCATTTGTCAAACGTACCTGGTATTTTGTTTGTTGATTTATACAGCCAACTGATAAAACTTTTAGATCATAACTGAATTCGTTATCTACTATTGTCAACATCAGCGGCCTGTGATGACCTTAAATTAATATACATTGTATGAGTAGTTGTGGACAATCGGTGTTTAATTTGTAATATCATTAAATCGTACGCGTTTGTGGGATTGTAAAACTTAAATGTTTATTTTTTTCATATTTATTTCCAAGAAGAGATGTTTCTTTTTGATTGGATTAAAACTATATTGGCGTATTTTGGTAAGTCTCACATAATCTTTATTATTGCTTGTCACTCCATGGTATGACAGTACAAGGCTCTTCCAATAGGAAACGCGAATAGCACTTGCTATAATGATAGTTATCAAGGGATTATCTGATTGAATATTTGCCTATATTAGGTCGTCACATTGTTTTCGAGATAAAATCATGTATTAAAATGACATTTGATAGAAGTTCACATGAATTTTCTTGCAAATTTTAAGTTGTTGGAATGAAAATGTCAAATATTAAACTATTTCTTGTAACAACAACAACAACAACAACAACAATGTTATGTTTGAAAATAATTAACAGCGGAAGCTGAAGTTAAGTGTTGAATTCATATACCTTTATGGTTCCTTGTTTAATTTACATATACCAGTTGCTTTTTAATCTAAAGTAAACAAATCGATGTATTATATCATATCTTCACACACAAATTCATTGATCTTGATACACATCTATTTGTAGGATTTAAGGAAAAGAAACAGTTGCTGATTTTGGGACTTGATAATTCTGGCAAAAGCTCTCTGTTACACTTATTGTCAAATGATGAAATTGCACGCAATCCACCAACTTATAATGGGGGTAAGTACTTTTACAAAACTTCAAACTTGCAATTTTCACTATTAAAAGTGGGCAAATAATTAATTTAAACTTACTACAAAACTACAGAATTCAAATATTTAGTATAGCACCGTAATGTAACATAATATTATACTGAAAGTGGAGTTATTTCAATAATGTTTATTAAAGCCTTAATAAAGTGTATAAACCTATATATCTGATGCAAAAATTATTGTATGAATTTAAAAAAAAGTATACTTTCAAAATCCTTGTATGAAATAAATATGGTAGTAAATTGCCTTAAAAGCGAATGGCGCATGCACAAAATCATTGCTTAACGGGTACTTGCTTAAACCCTACTTAAAATAGCAAAATGATATTTTGTTCCATATCCTTTTATTCAGTTTACGAACATTATTCATGTGTATTAAATAACAGAGACATTCTATGTTACAACCTTTTTGAGAATCAACCATATGATAATGGAACCAATATAATTTTACTGTTGCTAAATTTTATTAAAATATTTTATAAGATATAGATCTATACCCTTTTATATAATATGTAATTGCCAGAGATTTAAAGTTTATTTTAAAAAGTTTTACCTTGATTCAAGGATATGCCTATTCATGATTAGATAATACAAATTTAATAATTTGTCGTTTAAAACAAGTATTTTAACCCTTTATAATATGTGATAAGCATTCCCTCCAAGTATAGAGAAGTTTGATCTGGTAATCTCACTTTTTGTAGTTTGTTATTGAAATTCCTTCGGATAGACTGTTCCAAACATAAAGCAGGTAAAACGCTAAGGGATAAACTTTATTGAATGCTCATTTTAAACGTAAATTTTCTGTTTGTAAAGTGATGTTAGTGTTTTTACTTTTCAGCTTCCCAAGTATTTGATGTTGGCACTACGCGATTTGAAACGGTTGACCTTGTAGGACCTCCGGGAGGTAATTTTTTTATTATCTTAGACTGTATTTTATTTAAAGATGTTTCATATAAATGATGAATTCCAAGTTATCACTGTACGGATTGAGTATGGAAGGTTTTACGTCGCACCAGCCCAGTATAGGTCATAGGGCGACTTTTTCCAGCTTTACTGATGGAGGAAGACCTCGGGTGCCCTTCCATGCATTATTTCAGGCACGATACTCTGTTCGTAATATTACCCTTGAAACCATATTGGATCTCTGAAATGTAACTTTTTCCTATAAAGATAAGTTAGACAATTGAAAGTAAATATTCCAAATTAACAAACACGAAAGAATCCAAAGTCCCTGATGGAATCCGGACTAACAACGAAAAAATTAAAATAGACATGAATGGTAATTGAAGAAAAGTGAAATATACTCTACACAATGTTTTTGCAATCCATCACAATTGTATGCAAAACAAACATCTATTCTTTAAAAATGTTATAAATTATATATAACATCAAATTTCGACACTCATTTAATTGTTGTTGTTTTTAAGGTGTTGATATACTTGTTCCAGGCATGTGAAATGTTTTTGTATTTATTCAGTTCGTAAGGTATGGAAGAACACTTATCCCACTTGTGATGCTATCATTTTCTTGGTGGACTGTACTGATAATGAACGGTTCGAGGAAGCGAAAGAAGGAATTGATGTAATGCTACACATATAATACAAACAAGTTTCAATATAGTAACCAGAAAGTCCGTTCTTGATTCACTTAATATTAGCCTTTAAACATTTGTAAGACAATCTAAAAATTATGCTTTGTCAATTACATTTACTATAATTAGTATTTTATATTGAATCACTTAACTTGGCCATATAAAACAAGTCAAGAAGGAAAATAGTGGTTCGGCATTGAATGACAAATGGAAAGTTATCAGCATATGAGCATATTTTAGCCACGTGTCAAGCTTAGTAGCAAATTTCTAAATGAAATTTTCAAATGTTGATAACTATTCACCTTATATTCAAAATGATAAAACAATACAGAAAACCATGTTACCAAGATAATTGATTTGTGTATTAAAATAATTTTGTAAGCCGTTTCTTTTACTTAAGGTAATATTTCAGATCACAGTGAGTTATTTCATGTATGGTTATCATCCATCTCATTATTATCGCATGGTTTGGAACTTTTCCTTTGTTCTTACTAGCCCATTATACTCAGTACACTTCAATGAGCATTTAACAACTGTATTGATATATAACAGTTCATTTTTTTTCAATGATTCATATAGGAAAAAAAACTCGACTGTTATATATCGGTTGAGTTTTTTCGCACCTGTTATATATTAATGCAGTTTTTTCACAGAGGCTCTAATGGGGCAGTGGTAACGAACATTCCCAGTAGCCAAAAAAAAAATGAAATCAATAAAATGAAATAAATAAATAAATACAATGAAAAATATAAACAAAGATAATTAATGAAATGAAATTTACTCTCATTTAATCAAAAAGGTACATCCGCTGAATGAATTATTTCCAGTGAAAAAAGCCCTTTAATTAAAATGAATCAATATTGGTAACATCTAACATTGGATGTCTCTTGTATATCTTTTTTTTTTTGCGGCAGCGAAAACAACTGGAAAAAATGCCTTATCATGAATAACTGTAATGAAGCTAACGATTTATTTATTTATTTTACTAAGAAAGAAAACATTGCGATTAAACAATTATAGTATATGAAACTCGTTAGTTACGGGGGTATAACACTGGCTGGGGCGACATCTCGGGATATTTCTGCTCGGCCTAACGGCCTTGACATTTTTTTTAGCAGAAACACCCCTTGATGTCGCCCCAGCCAGTGTTATATCCTCGTAACTAACTCGTTTCATGTACTATAACTATTACATATTTCTTGTAAAGCATAAGAAGATCTGGACTTTAGTCAAATTGGATTATCGCATTATTCCTTTGCAATGTTTTCAGTGCAACGAATTTAGAATTTTACTATACTTTCATGATTTATTTAATCTAATCGTTTTCTGTCTTTTTCAGACGTTACTACAGAATAAAAGTGTCATAGACGTTCCAGTCGCCGTTTTGTATAACAAAATGGACAAAACGGGAGCTGCCAGTGAAAATGATCTGTCTGAGAGGCTTCAACTAATTAAGCATAAAACTGGCAAGGTTGTTTGTATTCTTAATATATTTCCTGTAGATCTTGACAAATAAGACTTGAAATATCCATTCTATATAAACGATTGGTATAGACTAAATTGAAAATTTAAAGGTTCTGTGTTCTGTACTTTTTTAAAAAGCATCTCAAACTTTGCTTTTTTATTTTACTTCGTAATGTTCAATAGGTTAAAGTAAAAAAGACTTTGTTACGTTTTTGATCTGCAATAGTAATAATAAATGATTAAATATTTTAATTTTCAGATACTTGGACCAAAACTAGATCTGACAGATAGACCTTTAGAAACATTTCCATGTAGTGTGGTGAAACGAGTTGGTTATGGGGAAGCTTTGAGATGGCTTGCATACTACGTCAAATAAAATGTAAATATTTTGAATAGATTGGGGACGGGGTGCTTTGGTCTTTGACTGATATAATTTATCAAATAAAAGGAAATGGTGGCATGCCTTAGACAGTGTTTTCTAGGCGATATGGATTGCTTATTTGGTTGATGTACGATAAACATAGATCGATTAAACTATGATGCTTGTGGAAAAAACACAAACTTTGTAGACAGGAAGCATTTAAACAAAGTATTTTGACTATCATCTTCATCTCAGAGCACCTTAAGTTGTATAACATATAGTTTGACTTTGCATTCGTGACAATTCAATTCTTGTGTATTTTTCATGACTAGACATTTGACCGCGTCATGACAAAACCAACGTAATGCGTATGCGACCAGCATGGATCCAGACCAGCCTGCGCATCCGCGCAGTCTGATCAGGATCCATGCTGTTCGCTTACAAACCCTATTACAAGTAGAGAAACTGATAGCGAACAGCGGATGCGCAGGCTTGTCTGGATCTATGTTGGTCGCAAACACACTATGTTGGTTTTGACGTGGCGCGGCTCAATTATAAATCTTGTAGGTGATAAAGAAGATGTATTGATCATTTCATTTTTTTCAGCCCACTTGCTCAGCTCAATAGGAAGAGCACTGGATGTTTTTTCCAAGGAGTCGCTAGTTTGATCCTCGGGCTAGGAAAACTTTCGCGTTGACCATGGAACTCGGACATTGTGTGTACATGTAATGACTATATGTCTTTCATCGCTGATTCAGAAATCATATCATGGTGGATAAGTAGTCGGTCACCTTCAGATATTTTGGCAATTACCTGTTATTATCTAGGAAACCTGGTAAAGTCGGCCGACCATCGAGATATAACAATTTCTTCTATTGCTCATACATGTTTGCTTTCAAGAATGCAAGTGGGGGTAACACTGAAACGCACTGTGACAAATAACATTTTTATACCGTTTTCAAAAATCGTTTTTACAATCGGAACATCCTCGGCTATTATCTATAATAACCTCGGAGTTGATAGGGTTTGAAAGTAGTTCTACCACGTGGTTTCATATGTGAGTGAAATCAACGAATGTATATATTTGACATCCAAAGGCAATTAAAGTCTGTTTCGGTACAATTATGATTGAAAATATGTCTGACAACCATTTTTGATTAAATATGCCCACTGATCTACAATAATAAACAAATCCGACTCAATATCAACAGGTTGGCATTTTGTACTTACGGTTTTTACAACTATAATGATAAATAAATAAATAATGTATCGTTTACTTTTGTATCTATGAATTCACTTATTTCGGGTGGACTTTACATTATATGTTGTAAATTAACTTGTCAACAAATAACTATTTGTTTACATGTTTAGTTTCTTAGCGTAGGTTAGACCGAAATACAGCATCCGTTCTGAATATTCATGCTATTGTGTTCGAGGTCCTTATCCGAAGACTGACGGAAAGAGCCGAACTGTTGCAATTGTCGTTTTTATAAATCGGTTAAAAGTATTCCATTGTAAATATTTTCCAAAAAAGACTACCAATGCCACATTTCTTTTCTTTTACAGGCGATGCTTTCGTTAGTTTTACAATTCCATGTACGTTTAATTCAAAGTTTCCGGCTGATGTTTCTTTCGTGACTCTATGGATAAAGGGAGCTTACAGTTCCCATTATCACTTTTATAACTTTAAATAAAAAAACGAGTTAAAAGCTTACGATAGATCAGAGGGTACAATGTGAATATAAAACGAGGCTATCTTCATAGGACTTGATTTAGTAAAATGAAATAATGATTAATATACAAGTTACAAGAAACTTTATTTTAAGTTGGATTACATATTACAAGAAACATTAGCTAATAAGCTATTTACCGACAATAAAAAAGACATAAAACATTTTTACTAACATATAATAGATCTGAAAGTGAAAACATTTAAAACTAGAAGCAATTTAGGCATGAAATAAAAGTAGCAAGATTAAGAAGAACTATACAAAAAGATGACAAATAAAAGCAAAGTATGCTGACATGCACAGTACATATTGTATTAAAGATATTAATAGTTTAAAAGTAATATAGAATCATGAGCTGACAATTTAAGTATGATACATGTAGCAATGTGAATTAAATAAAAATAATTATGATAAAAATATAAATTAATTAAAATAGTAATAGTAAACATCTAGAATTTATACATAATCAAAGATTTTTAAAAAAAGTAAATAAATAAATAAATAGATAAATAAATTGACTTGTTAAAAAACAGTACATAGAAATAAAACAGCATGAAAAAAAAGATAAAACACATACAGGGTAATAAACAAAGTTAACTAAAATTAAGTTGCATGCACAGCCTAATGGAAGGGGAAATAAGGAGTTTTAATTAGAACAAAACATACAAATCAGACAACAAAGATACAACTAAAACACAGGGTCTGAATGAAATATAATATACGGCATATAATCAAAGCATATTGGAAGATCACAAGTTAAAAGGTTGGAAGTGTATATGTAACGTACATTTTTACGGTGCAAAATGAAGATAATCCCAAACTTAGCTTATTAATATATTAATAGGGACAGTATCAGATTTATAATCAAGGGATGACTGGCGAGTCAAATTTTCTACTTGACCAACAATCTCGGACACTATGCCTATTGGTTATTTGTCTCTCATCGCTGATCACGTGGGATTAGAAGTCGGTCACTTGCGGATGAATTGGTAATTACTGGTAAGTTATCAAGGAAAGCCATTTAGGTTGCCCGACCGCCAAGATTGGAAAAGACGTATTCAAATCGGCGTAAACAGATTTAAAAAAAACCAGACAAACATAATAATATAGATTTTACAGAAAACTTTTAATTTCTTTGACAAAAATATGAAATAGAATTTGACAATCGTCACAAAACTTTGTCAAATATTAAGATAAAGATGACGGTTGCATTACTGTCAGATTTTGAATATCAACGACAAGTAACTAAGTGTATTTTGTTATCCTCGGCAGAGAGATAAGCAGCTCCATTGAAATATCACTCATGCCTATCAAAAAGTGAAAAATTAGGCTTTTTGTAGCAAGTAAAACTTAACTTGGATTTACATTTGATACTTTTATATTATACACCATTTGAAAGTTAAATCTTTTATATATAGCTGCATGTTATAATATTGGTAACATTCCATGCCTTTGACTTAGGAAAACATAGCAGAACATACCCACTGAGCCATTTTTGTCATATTAATAGTTTTGTAAAACAAAATGTTAAGTAGTTCTCTTTAAAACTTGATGTATCATTCATTTAAATGGGAACTGTAAATGTTTTTTTCTGCAGCCATAGACAAATGCATAAGCTTTCAGAAAATGTATCACTTTACTGATTTTGATATCTGGTTAAAAAGTTTTACTTGCTGCAAGTTTTAAGTTTAGCAGGCACACATGATATTTTAACTGGCAAGGATGTTGCCTGTCTCTGTTATCTGTGTCTCTGTCCTCGGGTAGAGAATAGATATATTTATATTCAAATGAAAACATAACTGGGTAATTCTATATTTTTGTCTTTTTATTGTCCCATCATATTTTTCTTATAAAAAAATCGTAAAATTATCATTTATTTTTTAATAATGAATATATATATTTATCGAAACATTTTTTTTCCATGTACACAATGATCAGAAAATAAAACTATTAGTTAACTCAGTATTAATCTGAAACATCTATCAAATTGTACAAAATCGTTACGATTTTAGTGTCCCAAAGGACTCAGTATCTGATTTATTGTGGTATTTTTATTTTTTATTTTAATTTGCATCTAAAAATGATCGTTTTATTCAATGAACATATATTTGACGATAAAGCAAGAGCAGTTTTACATTCTTTGTTAGCCGATTTAACCTTTAATTTAATAAAAATCATTGTCACAAAAATAATGACATTACCCTAACGGATAGTAATTTCATCTGCCGAGTAAAAATTCATTATATCACCGTTTAATTTTTTACGTCATCGGAAAAGTTTAAAGGCGCGAAATTTTAAAAGAAGGTGGAATGGACGAAAAAGAGCTCCTTTTAAAAGGTATTTGATTTAGTAAAAATCGTACACCTTCTTTCTGTCATTACCGAGCTGTGAACAATAATCATGAATATTACATATACTAAATTCTTCCATCTCATATTGATTAATTTGGTGTTTATACTCTCATCTGTACTTTATTTCAATTGTAAATATAGAAACCAATATGGCTACCAGTGTTAATCTTTAAAAATGTCATAACCGCAACAGTCATTACCGAAACTGATTCTTTTGTGCTGGTAATGACTCGAACGTTTCGGTTATGACAACTGTTAGATGATATTATTTATTTTACATCATTTAGTTGTGATTGAAATTCTTTAATGCTATTGTTGTGAAGATATTTATAATGATATTTATAAAATTGGTGATGATTTTGATTAAAATATGTAATAAAGCGATATCTATAGACATTTAATGATAACATAGACATAGATGGCTCTATTAACATAATTGTAAATATAATGTGCTGCATAATGTAAGCATAAAATCTGTTTTTATTGCAGATATAAAAATAAAACTGAACAACTTAGATAGACAAATTGGAAAAAAACAGAAAGATGGTTTTATACAATACTGCGAGACGAGCAAAACATAAGGATATATGCCAAAGAAATTTGTGATCTGTATGACCGTATATTATCAAATAAGGACAAATGCAGACTTTACTCACTTCAACTTAAAGATGTCATTAAACAGTGGCGACCAGGAGCACGTTGGAGGAAACGCCAGAAAGCAGATCCGGGAAAACATCAAAAGTATCTTCAGAAAGAAAGAGAGCGTTACAAAATGAGGAAAGAGAAGGCCAATTAAAATCAATCAATGATATGACAACAAGAGAAAAGAGGAAACAAGACGTAATTGGAGAAGAACAAGAAGAAGAAAAGAGCTAAAGATGATACTTAAAAATGTGGAGCAAACAATGAGTCCCCCTACGAGCCCAAGTTATGATCAGGAAAATGTACACGAAACCGCTATGAAAAAGATAGGTCGCAAAAGAATCAGAAAAGTCAGAGCAAAGTGTTACAGAGAATTGTTTAAATTGAGAGTTGAACTGGATGAGGAAAGAAGACTTAAAGAAAGGTATCGTAAAAGGGAGTATAGATTTAAGAAGTCTAAAATTCAGGAAGAGTTTCAATAAGAAGTTGAAGAGAACATTAAAAACAAATAACTGAGAAAGTCTCTATCATTACATGTTATAATGATAAGAAATTCAAATAAACAATATACAGAAACAAAATCACAAAGAGATAAAAGCAAGATGAGGCTAATATGGAATAACTCAATCCTTAAGAAATATAGGCTTGGTAAGTACGCTATGAAAGTCACGGGAATAACAACAAAGCCCCGTCAGAAAGATCAACAAATTAAAAGACGAACACCATTGATCAAATCAATTGTGAGAAACTTCTTTGAAAGGGATGATAATTCTAGAATGAAAGCTGGCAAAATGTCAACTATTACTAAATTTGGTATAAAAAACAAATCCGCCTTCTAAATGACACAATAAAGAATATACATACCAAATTCCTGTCAGAAAGTACATGTCGGTTAGGGTATTATACTACGATAATAATGTACGACACGTTGTGTCTGGTTTATACGTCTATTCAAACTACTAACGTTATACTACAAAACATAGGAAGTGACGTACTCTAACGTCACGCATACGTTGGCGTCATTTAACGGCACATGCATATGAGCGCAATTCCCGACATTCTGGGGGCCGCAAAATGATAAATTATTAAAATTAATATCAGTTAATTTCATCAAATCTTATATATAACTCTTTTCTAAAATACATTTAAATAAAAGTCATTGTTTTAAAATAACGCAAATGTCTCTCTCACTCATAATCAATACATCTCATAAAAGTTTATAGTCTATGTTCGCGATATTAATGAAATTTTATCAATTTGACTGCCTATAATGTTTATCGATTTACTCTTTCTCATTTATCTCTAACGGATAAAGTTTAGCAATGGGTCTTGTTGTATGATCACTTCCGGTACGAATCTTTGCTGCTCTGATCAATCCATCGCGACCGGGCATCAATTCGTCTACCACGGCAAGTTTCCAACGTATTCTAGGACATTCCTCGTGCACCTGTACTACGTCACCAACGCGTATCGTCTGCTCTCTATGACCACTCTTTGTATGTCGTTAACGTAATGAAGTCAGATAATCAAATTTCCATTTTTTTTCAAAATCTGTTAACTAACACACGCTGAACTCGAAATCGTTTTGTTATGGAACTACTGGTACATATAACCTTCTGTGTGTTGATGTTGTCAGGTAATTCTGTTAACCTCCGACCATGGAGTAAGTGTGAAAGAGTAAGCGGTTCTGGATCTAATGTATCTGACGTTACGTAAGTAAGTTGTCGGTCGTTAAGAATGGCTTCATTCTCGGTAAGTATCGTCTGCAGAGCTACGAACGTAACGAATGATCGACCAAGTACTTTCCTTAAAGCTGTCTTAACAAGTCCAGTCATTCTCTCCCACCATCCACCAAACCACGGGGCTGTTTTGGTATAATAGCCATTCAGTTCCTTTAAATCCAAGCTGTTCCTTCAATGTATGTGATTCTAACAAGGACTTTAAAGTGTTTGATGCTGCTTGGAATGTCGTTGCGTCGTCAGATATTATGAGTTTAGGCAGTGACCGTCTGCTAACAAATCGCCGAAATGCTTGCATAAATGTGTCTTCTGAAAGGTCATGCACGAGTTCTATGTGTACAGCTCGGGTGGATGCGCATGTAAACAAGCATACATAAGCCTTTGACTCCCTACCGGTTTCTTCTCGGACATAAAGTGCTACAATGAAATCTAAACCTGTAACTGTGAATGGTGGTGAGCTTTCAACTCTGAATGCTAGAAACGGTGGTAGATCTGGTACAAGGTAGGGTTTAGAATTTACTTTACGACAAGTCGTACATTTTTGGATTGAGATCTTACACATTTGTCGTATCACAGGAATCCAAAATGTCTGTCGTATGTGGCATATAGTAGCACTAATTCCGGAATGAAGTTGTTTTTCATGTGCATCAAGTATGATTAGTCGTGTCAGAGGATGTTTGGCTGGCAGTAAAATAGGGAATTTTGTATTTTCATCTATAGGTGCATTGTGTATTCTACCACCACATCTGATAAAACCATATTGGTCTAGGTAAAGTCGTAACTGTCGTACCAATGGAAGTCGTGATTTACCAGATTTCAAATTGTTTATCACTTCTTTGTAAGTATTATACTGGCAATGTTGAATCAGCTTCATTTTAGCTTTAAATAGTTCTTGTACGGTGATTGGGCCCGTTGTTCTTGATTCACGTTGTATCATACAATTGTGTATAAATCTCATTACAAATGCTGTAATTCTAACTACCTTTTTATAACTGCTGTATCTATAAATATTTATGACATTGTGTAAGCCATCTTCAGGTGTGTTGGATATATCGTTATAATCCAAAGGTGGTTTCTTTCGGTTTCTATGGTCTCATTAGATACGGTCGTCATGGTAATAGCCTCTAACTTTTCCCACAGTGGCCACTGGTTCGGAGAGTTTTAACCAGTTTGGACCATTCATCCATAATTTGTTGTCTTTGTACTGGATTGCTGTTATGCCTCGCGTAATAAGATCAGCTGGATTTTGTTGGGTAGGACAGTATTTCCACTTCCGGTTCAATGTTAGTTCTCGGATTTCATTTACTCTATTTCTGTATGAATCTCTTCATGGTTTTTGTTGTGTTCAACCAATGTAGTACGATTTGGCTGTCTGACCAAAATATAATTTCCTGTACTTCCATAGCTTGTTGTAGATGATTTGCTATACGAGCGCCTATTACTGCAGCCATAAGCTCCAACTTGGGTAAACTGAGTTTCTTCAACGGTGCAACGCGCGATTTTGCAAAAATGAGTTTTGATTCATGGTTTCTGCACAAGTATGCTACTGCACCATAAGCTTGGATACTGGAATCAACAAAAACATGTAGTACTGTGTCTTCTGTTGTTAAGCATTTGTCGTCTGCTACCGATGAACAAAATATATGTCTGGAGAATCTTGTATTTTGTACAGTGTTGATATCACGTGCAAGTTGGCGCCATTTTTGCTGGATATTATCAGGTAAAATTGTATCCCATGACAACTTCTCTTTCCACAATTCTTGTAACAAAATTTTTGCACGTATCAATATCGGACTAAGTAAGCCAAGTGGGTCATATACTCTCGATGTGTACTGTAAAATAGCTCGTTTAGTCACATTATCGAAAATAGGAATGTCTCTATCTGGGTATGATATCTCGTCTGTTTCTGTATACCATAACATGCCTAACACTTTCGTTACCTTATTGTTGTCAAGAACACCTTCTTCTGTAGCGGTTGCTTGCAGTCGGCGATTATTAGATGCCCATGACCTCAAGTTAAAGCCTCCTTGTAACATTAGGTCTCTTGTATCTCGGAAATACCTTAAGACTTCCTCTTCTGTGCGAAAACTTGATAATATGTTGTCTACGTATAGGTCTCGCTTCAAGATTTTACTGACCCAGCTGGTAGCGTTCATGTCTAGATGTTTGAGTAATGTAGCGCTGAGTATAAACGGTGAGCATGTGGCACCAAATAGGACTGATTTAAATCTATATGTTGTTAGCGGGCTGTCAGCATTATCCGGGTTGCTCAACCAAAGGAATCTGGTTACGTCTCTGTCATCTTTATGTAATCGTACATTGAGAAAAGCCTTTTCTATGTCAGTTGAGATTGCATATTTCTCAAGTCTAAACCGAACCATTATGTGTGATAAGTCATTCATTATGGGTGGGGTAGAATCAAGGCAGTCGTTCAAACTAGGTTTATTAGCTGATTCACGGCAACTGCAGTCGTACACAATACGAATTGTAGTCGTAGTTGAATCTTTCTTGACTACATGATGGGGTATATAATGCACTTGGGTCGATATTTTCTCGTTCTCGTCAACTTTTGCTATGAAACCTCACTGTTCTTGTTCTTGTATTATTTCTGCGTATTTCGGTAAAATACTGGGATCTCGGCGGAGGAGATTAATCAAAGATTCTGTTCTTCTTTTTGTCACGTCGTAATTTGTCGGGAGAGTGGCGTGATCCTCTTTCCATGGGAGTTTGGCTTCATATTTACCGTCTGTAAACTTTACACAGTTTTGTTTGTATATCTCTAATGTGTCAGTATAATCGTCTTCTTCGGGGTTTATTCCTAGGGACTCAAGTTTCCAAAATCTGTCAATATCTGTACTCATTACATTCATAACTAAATAACTCTGATTCCTTGGTCCATGCGCTTGAACTGGACCAGACAGTAAGTATCCAATACTAGAACTAAGTGCTGTAGGACCATCTCCTCGAATCGTTTCGTTTCCTACGATATTCCAGTACTGGTCAGCTCCGATCAATAACGATATTTCAAAACTGTCTTCATTTATGACTGGATGTGCTAATTTTAATTTTCTTAGGTGGGGTAACGACGTCACGGACTGGGGAATGTGACGTAGTGGGACGGCGATTGTGGGGACGATCATCACTTCCAGGGGTAAATTGTCACCTGCATCGGTCAGTAGATATATGGTCGTAGTGTCTAAATGTCGTAGTTTCTGCGATGAATCTCCAAATGCTGCCAAACTAATGGCACTGCTTCCACGTGGCTGAACCTTTAATCTTTTGGCTAGTTTTTCAGAAATAAAGGATCGCTGTGCCCCTTCATCAAAAAGAATGTTTGCCTGCGCGAACTGTGTCTCAGAACATACTTGAGCGACAGCTGTTTTTAATAAAACGTCTGGTCGGGTTTCGGATCTTGAGTGTAAAACTGTTGCCTGTATTTGAGTGGAGGTATCACTTCCGGTTGAAGGTAGGTTTGTCGGGCAAGTATTTATTTTCGGCCTTGAATCTGGACAATTTTCACATATACTAGTATGGTGTTTTCTTTTACATTTCAAGCATCTGAAGTGTGATCGGCAGTTAATTACTTGGTGATTTTTCAAACAATTAAAACATAAATGCTTCTTTCTATATTATGTCCTTTTTAACCCTCACATCAATTAACTTTGTGCAATCGTTAGCATGGTGATTTTCATTGCAGTAAATACACTTTCTCTGATCAATAAGCGTTTTGTGCATCCGTCTGTGTATCACGTGACTTCCGGCTTCCGGTTTCCGTCTAGCGCCCGTGAAAAACGACGCTGTAGTTCTATAACCAGCTAAATCATCTGTAGTCTGTCCGGCCTCCATGATATTCAGTTCACGATATAACGCTTTTCGTAAACTTTCTAATGACCACTTATCGCTGCCATTTTCTCGTGCTAAACTCTTGCGAATTTCTGCCGGAAGTTTGTCTATAATGACTGGTACTAAAAGAGTTCCGTACGTATTTTGACACTGACCTAGCGATTCCAATCCGCGAATATAAGCTTCTAATTTGTCGTAATAGTTTCTCATACTGTGTAGAGTATTGCTCGGGGCTGGCAGGTTTAGTAACGCCTGTATATACGCATGAATGATTTTATGACTCTGTCCGAACCTCTCCTTCAGTAAATCGACTGCTTGAATGTAATTTGCATGCGTAAGTGCAAATCCTTGAATAACTTGAGCCGCACTGCCTTCTAGTTGCGTCTTCAAATAATTAAATTTTTGTACTTCTGTAAGATTCGGGTTTTGATGAACAGAGGAATCAAAAGCATCCCAAAAACTTTGCCATTCGAGAATGTCACCACTAAAAACAGGTAGCGATAATTTCGGCAGTCTCTGATAAAGCGACGTATTTGAATGAAATGTACTCACATTTTGCAAAGAATTGTTACCATTATTCACGTTATTATTTTCGATCAGGGAACCACTTCCGTCTTGGTTCTTGTTTTGTGGATTAGATGGTTCGCTATAAGCATTCTGTTGTTCTTCAGTGTTGCTTTTTCTGTTTTCGCTATAAGCTCGAAGTTCTCTCACCTTTATCTCCAACGTTAATCCATATTCTTCACTGCTTACTATTTCCTCCTCGATGTCGATTACTTCCGTTAGTTCTAAAATCTTTTCGTTTAAGGATTTGATCGTCTCTGCTTTTCTGACAATGGCTTCGAGAATTGCGTTAAATTCTATCATCGATGAATTCTCTTTCCCCCGTTCAATTCGTTCAACCTGAATTTCTACACATCTTCGTTGACCCTCTCTCACTGATCGCAATTTATCTATCTTCATAATGTTTTCGTCACGGCACCAATGTCGGTTAGGGTATTATACTACGATAATAATGTACAACACGTTGTGTCTGGTTTATACGTCTATTCAAACTACTAACGTTATACTACAAAACATAGGAAGTGACGTACTCTAACGTCACGCATACGTTGGCGTCATTTAACGGCACATGCATATGAGCGCAATTCCCGACAGTACAACAAAAGTATCATACAGTCTGTTCTGTAAGTTGAAACCATTTTGGGTTGTCAAACCAAATGAAAAAGACAGAGAAACATGTTTATGTAAGATCCACGAAAATGTCCAATACAAACTTAATCGCATGTTTCATGAAAAGGTCATACCAGAAAACAACCTTGATGAACACTTGAACAAATCGTTTGTGATTAATATACCAAATCTTGCATGTATAGAGAATGTGAATCTTGCAAAAGTAGGGAAATATCGACATCAAATGCAAATGGCCGACAAGTGTGGTGGTTTACGTGGAAAAAACATCCGAATAGAAAGAACACGGCAAAATGAGAATGGTGAAATTGAAGTAAAAAAGATATCAACAACAGTTAAAGAAAGGGAACATGGAACGCTAGAAATATTTTAAAAGGAGCTTATGAATGACATACAAAGAGCAGCAAGACATGTGTTTAACATTAAACATCAGTTCATTACACTTAAAAAGCTAAAAGAATCACTTGATACAGACAGCGAAACTTTTCCGAAATTTATGGATGTAAATATGATAAAGAGATCCAAAGTATGCACTTCGGTGCTTCACAGCGACAAATTTCACTTCACACAGGTGTTGCCTACATAAAACAGATACTGAAAGAAAAATATTTTTCTGTACTTTTCCGATTGTTTGAAGCATACACCACAAGCGATGTGGGCACATTTGTCTCCAGTGTTGCAGTATTTAAAAGATCAAACAAATGCAAGTGCAATACATATTTATAGTGATGGTCCTACTACACAGTACCGGTCTAAAACAATTTTTTATTTGTTTTCCAAAGAAATATATAAGTATGGGTTCAGTTATGCCACGTGGAACTATTTAGAGGCCAGTCACGGAAAGGGGGCTCCCGACGGTATCGGTGTCGTAATAAAAAGTCAAGCTGACAATCTGGTAAATGTAAACCAAAGAGATATTATGAGTGCACATGACCTTATAGATGGATTGAAATCTATTGGAACAAAGGTGAAGATGTTTGAAGTTGAGGCCAGTGACATAACTACATACGATAAAGAGATTGATATTACCTTGCTAACTGTACCCTAAACAATGAAGATTCATCAGGTAAGACGACACACATTTAATAGATATAACTAGAAATGCGTAATCAAAACATCATGATTATTTTGGCGTCACATCAACTTGAAATTATGAGTAAGATATAATAGTTAAACTTATATAAACTACTTTTCTGAATTTACTTTACAGACTTGACCGGTTCAATATTTGTTTAAATAAATCTGAATTGGTTGTTAACAATAATGTAAAGGATTTCGGATAACAACTAGACTTTTCGAGTATGCGCTTCTATACAGTATATATCTTTTATTTTCACACATCAGCATAGAACAAAGCGATTCTCTGAAACAAATGATAAAGTAATTAACTAATACATTCATTTCTGATATAAACTTAACAAATAAATAATAGAATAGAATAATTAAATAATTATTTCCTATGACGAAGAATCTTAATAAACAGAAGTACAGTTAAAATCCATAAAATAAATAATCGTAACAATTGATTAAAATTAATAAATACTTCATTAGAAAATTCTTTTTATCCGTTAACAAATAAATAAATCAAAATAATTTAAGCAGCTATCATACCGACTATAATGTCTTTCACATCGAAACCTTTAAAATACAGTTTCAGCTTTAACGTTTAACGCCGCTACATATAACGGAAGTTACCTTTTAAATTCATAACAAACAATTACGTCAAAATGACGCGCTAAACTATTCAGCGCGTAACGTTAAATAAGTTGGCGCCAAACAACGCTTAACGTAAGATATATATTATATATTTTAATTAGAATCGGTAATAAACGATTCTTACAAATAATATACCCTATTCGCCCATTTTAAAATATTCTACTAGTTTTAATAATAGCTTGTTGATTAAGAAAAAAAATCAAGTATTAATTTGTAAACGTTGAACTTATTATTTATAAATCTACATGAATCAAATTATTTTAGGCTTCTGCTGCTTGAACTGTTTTACAGGTGCTGTAAATCCACAAATATCAAATTCGTTCGAGAGTCCAAGCTTTGTTGTTTCTGCATAGAAAATTGTAATTGCTATGATCCTGTTAAGACATGTTTCAAAGTAGGTGAGGTAATGTTTATTTATTAATATCTTATTATGTATTTACTTGTTTTTTTTCTAAAGAAGTATCAAATTGAGATGTTTTATCTAGCGTTTTATTCACTGAGTTCAACAAAATTTTGTAATGAACCTTCACGAATATAGCATTCTATTTATCACATCATGAAGAACATTAGCGCACTTTTACGCTATGTTGATAACGTAAATGATCTCACGTAACAATGTTATAATATTAGAATACTGTAATATCGGTTTTATTACATGGCCATATAACACAATTTATGTGACAAATAGAAACAAATACATAATGGTTATATATAACTTTGAAAACAAACAACGTTATGTGATAATAATAAACATAGAGGTTTATTAACATCAGATACATGTACATTAACTGTTTTAGGCAACAACAACTATACTTTTATACCATACTTTGTGATCAAAGATAAACAATAGTGTAAAATTTTGTTCTTATTCCGTAGGCATCAGATGATACAGCCACTGTCGACAACTCTGAGGAGAGCCAAGCTGATGATTCTTCACAGTCGGGACATTTACAGGTCAGTAACATTTGCTGGGTAATGTTTCTTTTAATTTCCCTGACAAATATATTAGGTGTGGAACATATGATTGCTATCTTTTGTTTTACAGTCTGTCCGTCACTCTTTTATATTTTAAACGACGATGAGTTGATAAAGTCAATGTTTTATTGTAGGAAAAACATTTTAATTGTTATACACCGTGTTATGTATGCAACATATTACATGTATATAATTTATATCTGACCAGTTGGTATTTCCAATATTATCATTGTTCTATTTTTAGAACATTAACTACATGTATGTACTAGAACTTTCTTAACTGTTGTAGAAAACTCATGCATTATATTTAGATAGAAACTTCTGGAATGTTCTTTATTGTTGAAGTTGCTAGATTATGATTACTTTAGAACATAATAGACTTTTCTGGAATTTTCTTAGTTAATATATATAAAGTGACATTTTTCATTACTTTTACCTTTTAAGTCATCAGTGATCTTTTAAGTCATCAGTTACTTTTTAAGTCATCAATATATTTTGAGTATTATTCAACTTGGATATAAAAGGAATTATTGGAGCTTGGATTTTAAAATAAATTATTCTTGTGGATTTTATTGTGGGAATTTATTCTAAAGTGTTCTTGGATTTAACTTGGATTTAACTGTGCTATTCAAAAAAGACCATTCCAGGATCAGACTAGACATTTGTAATTTACATTTATATTTGGACTTCAGGTATTTGTACACATAATTTGTTGTTTTAATTTTCTTTAATAATTTTCTGTAATAAATTTGTTATTGTTACAAGTTTGTTGCTGGCTTTTCTTTCTCGTTACGCCTGGCTCGTAACAGAAATTGGGGGCTAGTCCGGGATTGAATATTTATTTTGGCTACATTATTGGAAATTATTGCCGTTTAATTTACATTTTATTATTACCGTTTTTACTCATCTGAGTTGACAACATAGTTGTTCTATTTAGTGTGTCTTATAATTCTAAATTTTTTCAAACACACCACTTTTTAGTTTAAAACCAGCAGCAAGCAGTCATGTCTTTTGATTTAGAAAAGTTTGTAGCTGAACTTTCCCAGGAGGTATTAGATTTGGCTAAGAAAACTAATTTGCTTGATCTTGCAAAAAAGTATAATTTATCAGAAATTAAATCTTCAATGCGTAAACAAGAAATTAAAAATTCTCTAATTCATTATTTTGTGGATGAAGATATTTTTGGACAAGATGCACTTTCTCACATTGTTGAAAAACACTCTGAAATTTCTGAAATAAAAATAAGAGAGCTTGAACTTCAATTTAAATTTGAATTAGAGAAAATGCAGTTAGAAAAAGAAAGGGAAGAAAGGCAAGAAAGGCAGTTACTGTTAGAAAAAGAAAGGGAAGAAAAAGAAAGGGAAAGGCAGTTTGAAAAAGAAAGAGAAGAGAGAGAATTTCAGTTAAGAATGAGAGAATTAGAAATCAAAGAGAGAGCAAATCAGTTTGAACATAGAATAAATTCAAAATTTGATGTCACTAAAAATATTAGGCTTGTTCCACCTTTCGAAGAAAAAGAAATTGATAAGTTTTTTCTGCATTTTGAAAAGGTTGCTGAAAATTTAAAATGGCCAAGAGAGCACTGGACATTACTTTTACAGAGCGTCTTAATTGGTAAAGCTCGTGAAATCTATACACAACTTACTGTTGAACAAAGCTCTAGTTATGATAATGTAAAAGATTTAATTTTGAAAGGTTATGAGTTAGTTCCAGAGGCCTACAGGCAAAAATTCAGAAATTCTAAGAAAGAAATTGGTCAAACCCATGTCGAATTTGCAAGAGAAAAAGAACAACTTTTTGATCGGTGGTGTCTATCTAAGAAAATTAATAAAAATCATGAAAAGCTCAGACAGCTCATGTTGGTTGAAGAGTTTAAACGTTGTATTCACTCTGATGTTAAGTCTTTCTTAGATGAAAAACAGGTAGAAACTTTAGAAGAAGCTGCCCGTCTAGCTGATGATTATTCTTTAACCCACAAAGTCTCATTTATAAATAAAGGGAAGTCCACACCCTCACATTTTAATTCCAAGTTCAGTTCTGGTAGTTTATCTGGCTCATCTAGTCAGTCAAATACTCCCAAA